CCAAGCTCTGCACGCCCTCGTCGCAGGCACGCCGCGTCTCCCCGTAGAAGAGTGCATTGGCAAAGCTCCAGAAGATGAAGAAGACCTGTGCAATCGGCTCAAATGGCATACCCCTCCCAATTCACGCAACCTGACGTGACCAGGGGGTCCTGGTTTGGACCATTGTCCTTTTAAAGGGACTGAGTCCCGAACTTCAGGTTCCATGTTAAGCCATCCAGCGGAAAACCGCCGCTCTTCCAGGAGTCACAACCAAGCAGCTTCAAAAGGAACCAATAAGGAAAGAGCTCGTTTTCAGACTTGTGTCGGATTCTCCTGGAACAAACCTTTGTATGTCCTTTTGTTGCGAAGGACGCCCCGTTTATAGTGGTTTTCTCAACGATTTGCATCATGCCACCTTTTCAGGACTAAGATTAGGATTGATGCTTACTTACTCTAGCCATTGAGAGAAGCCCTAGGCTTAGGATGCGTCAGTGAGATTGTGCCAACTCTCCAGTTGAAGCGCCAGTTTGAACAGCCTCTTGAAGTTGAGTCATGCGAAAGCCAAGACTCGGAGAATGTGTCCACCGCAGGGTCCCCGGTGTCGGCGCGTATGGCAACAAGATCAAGTCCCCGGGTTGAAGCAGCCCTACAGTTTGCTCATTTCCTGGAAAGCCAGGACCAAGTCTTGAACATTCGAAGGTGAGGAAGTGATCACACGCAAAGGGCGGTGAATTGAACAGGCAGGGGCAGGGCATGGCAGCACAGGTTACTGAGATCCAAAACTCCTGGCGTGGTGGCATTGCTACGAAGCACCTTGGAGAAATTCCCAAGAGCGGATTCTGAAACTCATTCCAGAGGCCGCCCCACCAGTCACAACTAACTTCCGCCCAGGTCTCCCCAAGCCAGCGACGCAGTGCATTTAAGTTCGTGCGGACACTGAGAACCCATAAGCAACACAATGCGTGTCCTTTTGTGGCATTTATGTTTTTTCAGGCCTCTTGTTTCCAAAATGTCTTGAAGGACCACCAACCTTTCGCTCAGTGGCACATCGCGAGCCGGTGCCGAGGCTGCCGAGGAGCTGTGAAGGAGGACGCCAGGACCCACTCTGAGCTCCCTTGCCAGCTCATGGCAGCCATGGCGGCCACCAACATGAGGCCTGCCAGTGACGCCAAGCCCAGTGGGTTGCCTGGCTTTGGGGGGCACCACCGTGGTTGGCCCAGAAAAGCTTGGAGTAAGGCTTTTCATGTGAAGGGAACCAAAGAGTAGCGACCTGGAAAACCGTGAAACGAAGGGCGGACCAAAATCCGGCTCCCAAGCTACCATGTCCGGGGCCACATTTTGTTTCCGCGGTTCGCGTTCTCCTGATGAACATCACGTTTGTCTCAAAGAAGAACGCCAAACCGGGAAGTTGTTTTAAAGAGTACTTCAAGAGGGTACAAAGTATACATTTGGAAGGGGAATGCCAGGGTACCAACTCAGGGGTACAGTACATTGGACAATAACCCTTAATAGATGTTTTCACTTGGACTTGTTGCATACGAACTGGTTCATCTCAAATTGACGGGACCTCCAGAACGAGCGGTTTCCTTTTGGTAGTGTTCCTCCCCCCACCAAATCAACAAGATCAGCACCCAAAAAAGACACACCCACGACTGTTCTGAACATGAAGCCTTGCTTCCCAGCAAAATGTGTCTCGAAAGAAATTGGACTCCAGGTGGTTGACTTCATCTTTATGCTCGCCATAAACACCAAAACGGGAGTTCCAAAACGACACTCGCAAAGGAGCTCCGAGAGGGTTATGCCTGCGGTTTCCCAGAAGCTGCACACAAGGGTCCCAAGAACAGCAACCCGCTTTTTCCTTACAGAAAACTGAAACACTGACTGTGTTGGGGTCCCTTTGAATGCCGCATGTTTCCCGTTGCTGTATAGATTTGAATCACTCTTGCTGCATTTTTTCGTTATGTTTCCAAACTTGACACTTTGGGGATCAAGGGACTTTCATCATCAGCTCATTTTGCCCCCGGATCGATTTGCGAGCTCGCAGACGTACAAGCCGAGCCGCTGCAGGCCAGCAAGCTGTGCAGTGGCCGCGCGGCTGCCCGCAAGTCCACCGACTCCCAGGAGAGCAGCAGCGAAGCGCCCGCGCCCGCTAGAAGGGCCTCGGTCTTGACCCTCCACAAAACAGGTCAGAAGCCTTCCCATCCCCTACAAATCCGGACAAGCAACGCAAAAGTTCTGCGGACCCTGAACCTTTACCTTTACAATGGGGGAATCATGGCATCATTTTGAGGAGTAGCCCATCTGTTTAAGGGTAGTTGGAGGGTCCAGGTGCCCGCCGTCAACAAGAGCCAACCCACCACAACCAGGAGTCGCTGCCCCACAGCCAAGAGCAGAAATCTGCCTCCCCCGATCGATCGTGTTTCAACTTGCGCCGTGTGTGCAGCCAAAGCCGCAACAGCGAATATCGCGCCATTGTTATCGTGCACAAAGTCTTGGTCCGCGTATAACGAGGACTCGTAGCCTTGGCATAGCTGTGCATTGATCGTGTTTCAACCCTCACCCGGCTGCACCCCACGCGCCAGCGGTATTTGTTTTTTGCTAGGTTCACACTGAAAGAAATATCTCAAACCGTCAATTGGTTTTAGCATGGTAGGTTTGCACAGGCCTCTGAGACAACAATTAGCGAGAGAGATGGACATATGAAGAGACAAAGTGAGCAAGCAAGGATACGTTCTTCAGCAGTCTGCTCGCTCCGAACTCAAAGCATAAAACTGAATATTGTCTAGCAAACCTCCACATCTCAATGCGCATGCAACGCGCAGAAGTCCAGGAGTCAGCCCGAATAACCGAATCTGATGCGCCCGTCTTTGCCATCTTCGCTGCCAAACCTGTTCTTTATGCTTTCATTCCAGCAACTACCCTTGCACCCACTGATGTAGAACCTGATCGTGGCGTGGGGGAGGGAGGAGGGGAGGGGGGGGGAGGGGGGCGGGAGGGGGGAGGGGGGGGCGGGGGGAGGGGGGTGAGGCCCACTGCCGGCTGGTACCCTGTGGTAGTAGAGGTCGTTGATTTGGTCCCTGGATCTATTCCGGAGAGAGTCCAATATGCCAATATGGAGGATTGGAGGATGGATTGTCCCTGGCTTGTGTTGCCTGTAAAGCGGTCTGCAAGCCTTTTTATCACTGCACCATGAGTCGAATGACTGTACAAATGACTTGAAGAGGCCTTGAGCCAAACATGTCAGCGGAGCGTGTGAATAGGTCAATGTGTAACCAAAAGCAACACAAAACAGACACAGATTTCTTTTGACCTTTCACACCGAAAGTGTATGATTGGCTTCTTGGCCTTATGTGCCGTAGCCATACTTGAAAGTGTCGGCCGTAGCCATATATTGTTACAATGATTCATCCAATTTTGGCGCGGATGATTTGTCATGTGAGCAAAATGGAAAACAGTCTGTACTGATTTTGTGAGATACCTAGATGTATCGAAAGGTGATGCACAACGCTATGTACATGCGGGACGAATGTGAAACTATTGATCTCTCACTGAATAGTCTTGTTGGCGGTGAGGATCAATCTGGTTGTAGTTCGTGGCGCTGATCGTGTGAGTCTTCTCGGTCGGTCGAATGAGTGCCAAAGGTGGCTGCTTCATCAAGTGATTAGCGGTACCACCGACGGCTGCTGTCGGATTGACTGCCATAGTCTCCATAATCATTCCAGGTCGAGTCGCCATAGTCCTTCCATTGCTTTGGATTGCCCCAGTACTGTTTGTTGTAGTCCTTGTACTCTTGCTGAGTCCAATTGCTTCTTCTTGAGGTGCTCCTTGGATCTCTCAAAGTTGCGTTGCCTGGCGGCAGATCTGCTGCGGATGTATACCATCAGCGGACTGTGCGAGTCGGAATCTTGTGAGCCATTCATGAACATATCGTTGTTCACGTGCTTGAAGCGTTCCGCGGATGAGACCTGATACCGTTCCGCATGGCTTCCAGTTGTTCATCTTTCATGGCGTTCATCTCTTCCTTCTGGAAAACCTGATGGATATTCGTTTTGCCCCATCCAAACACGAATGTCATCATCACATCTGGGAATGTTCGGTCATACCCTGATCCAGTCTTCATGTATAAGTGATGACGGACAATGGATTTTAGGGTGCATGAAGTCTCCATTGCACACTCCATTCTGTCCACGATGGCAGATTCTCCGTCTCATTCCACAATTGGCCGGATTGAAGACGTGCTGGAGTCTGCTGTAGGTATTCGCGGATTTGTTGGCGTCTCCAGTGATCGCATCACATTGGTACAATGCCACGAGTGGCAGGATTTCGTTCTGAAAATCTTCCCGTGCTGCTCCATGGCTGATTGAGGGATGAATGTGGAAAACTCCAATGGTAGCAAACGGGAGGTCTGCCCTCGTTACGTGGCGGCTGTCAAACTCGAGGAGTGATTTGTTGGATGATTTTGGGAACATACCACGATACTCATCACTCTGCTCGATGTGGAGAAGGACAATCTCTTTGTTACGTCCGTGTCCTTGGACAGTGGTGCGTGTTGGCAATCTCGGTCCGATGTACTTCTTGGACTCAGTAAACATGGATGGTCCCGTAGTTGCCAAGCAGTCCGAGGTCGGAATGTCGTATTCAGGATCAGTGCAATTTTCCTCGGTTCCGAAGAAACATCTGAACATCCCGAATGTGGTTCCCCAATTCTGACTCTTTGTGGAAATGTGTCTTGCCAATAGTTCCACTCTTGCCGAAGGTCCGCCGCGGACAAAGCATGCAATTGGTCTGGATGACCATTGCTTGATAACGATGCCCTTGTACCCGAATCGGATGAACGTCTTGATGAGTTCTCTGGATTTATCATCTTGAGGACTGAGGAATGCATCTGCTTCATTGAGGCATAAAATGTGTGCGCTGTTCTGCATCATCATCTTCACGATTGGTCGGTCCTTCTTCGCCAGGTTGTACACCTCCCTGCCGTCCAACTTTGGATTCCTGGTGAGGTTTCCATGGTTCATAGTAAGCATGTTGATCGTCAGGGATGAGGTGAACTCATGCGTCTTGAGATGGTCCACAGGGGGACGGTCGGTCGGCTGCATCAGCGATCCCAGGATATCGGCAAATGCTCGGATAATTTCCGGGTCGTCATGTGACCTAAGCTTCTTCAATCCCAGTGGAAGCTTAATAGGATATTCGGATATTGGCTGTGCCTGCCTGTACTCGTCCATGGTGGGACATTCTCCTCGATGGCGGAAGTAGAACTCTTCTTCTCCGAGATTGAGGATCGACGTGTGCCAGGGAGGCTCTCTCGCATTCTGTCAATTTAGGATGAGCTCTCCTTGGATCCTTGTTGTACTTCTCCATGAAGCGGAGGAAGTTCTTTTTGGTTTCCACGAGCTCTTCCTCGGCGTCCTTCTTGCTCATTTCTATTTCGAGGTAGGTTTCCTTGAGTTCCTGGATGAACTCGTCTAGGTTCTCGGAATTGCGATACTCCATGATAGCCTTTGGCTTGACGGATCTCTCCCCGGAGGGTTCCCTGTTCTCCTCTTCAACTTCGTCCTGATCGGTGGAGTGCCGTCGCTTCTTGGTCTCTGAGGAAGCATCTTTTTCCTTGCTGTGCTTGTCGGAATTTACATGGCTGAAGAAAGCATCGGCGAATTCACGGATCTTGGTGTCGTACATCTCAACATCTTCACGACTGAGAAGCTTCTTCATGATCCAGATGTTGCTCATCATGGTGCTACCATCAGGTTCATATGCTGCAACAATATTCTTCGCCTCGATGGTTTGTTCTGTCAGCGCTGTTCGCTCTTCGGAGAGTCGGATGCCATAGTCCTGGTCCTTGAGGAATGCAAGGATCAACAGTGCATCTCTTCCTGCTGGCACATGTGTGAGTGCTGCTTCTGACTCGTCGTCGTCGAGGATAACGTCGTCGATGCATGCTATGCGGACGTGCATTCTCCCCGAAGGGTTTGACTGGGATTTCCCAGATCTGAGCCCGTTCTCTATGATCATGATGAGTTGATTTCCATAGGTTGCATGGAACATGAAAGTGATGGGCTTCTTCGCGAACGGCTTGATCTTTCTCTCTTCTTCAATGGATGGCTGTGCCGGCCTTCGCATTCTGTATTTTGCCTGAGCTGTGCCTTCGTCTTCATGGGGCGCATCTGATCTTGACGGATGCGGACTTGGAGGAATGAATTCCGTTGGAAGGTCATAGTCCGGTTCTTCTTGGCGAGGCTCACTCTGCTGCTCGGAGTACAGGGGTCGTCCAAAAGATTGGAGATCGACTTGTCGTGTATGACCGCTGTTGCATCTCACGTAGAACTCCATGTCTGGATCATTGAGGAATTCCTTGCCATTCGGCCGCCGGAGTGCATTGTGTGCGGATCTCGTGGTGAGTTTGTCGATCCATCGATTTCTTGGAACAATTTCTCCCCTTGCCTTGCGCTCCTTGTATGGCCCGTCCACGGATGGATACACGAACGCAATCTCGAAATGTGACTTTCCATAGTTCGGGAACATAGCCATCAAGAGAAGTCCTGGCTTGTTTCCAAAATGAAATTCCTGGCATGTGTAATGCAGGTCAATGCATCGTACAGCTCAACGGATCCATCAGAACCCATGTCCACTTGTCGTTTGCATTCTTTATGGATGCCATGCCTTGGGTCATGTCGAAGACATCCGGAAAACAATCTGCTCATTCTCTCGATTCGCCAGAGGATGAGGTCGGTGGTCTGTTTTGCCTTGGATGGATCCATGTTGAAGTACTTGCAAACCTGTTCAACATTCTGGACGGTCTTCTCGAGATCAATGTTGCTGTTGTGACATACCATCGGAATGATGTCGGTTCCGTAAACTTCTGGCTGAGCATTGGTGTAGCAGCAAATGCTGTAGACCTTCTTGATGAAGTCCATGTATTGTTTCTCTGCGTGAGGGCCTTCACCTTGAAGCGTTGGCCGCCAATAGTCATTGAATCTGGCTTTCAGCCAGAATACCTTGACTCCATGTGGTCGTCCATGCTCAGGAATGAAGTGGAAATCCGGATTCATCTCGAGGATGGTTGAGCACTCCTTGTAGTATTCGTACACGAAATTGAGGAATTTAGAATTCCTGAAAGGTCCTGGGTGTACGGACTCCCTCTGGAGGCTGATGTCGGTATCTGATCCATCTGGTACATACCACCGATCGTTGGATGTGAGAGTTGGCCGCATCGCTGGTCGCCTTGGAAGTGCAGGTCGGTCACCAGGATGATTGTCGGATTCCGTCTCCTCTTCCAGGATGTTCTTCGGGGTGGTGACTTTGGAACCAGTTTTGGATGTGGCATCGCCTTCGACGTCGGCCTTCCTGCGGGAGGTTGCTCTTCCTCATCCGAATCATCGTCGTTGTCGGAATCTGGGTCATAATCAACCTGCTCCATGTTGACATTCTCTGCTTGTTGAGAGGCGGATGGATTCTCATCGGCGACCTGCTCCATGGGGCAGTCGGATGTCTCATCCTCAACACGAGCAGGTGATTCCT